CACACCCACACCCACACCCACACTAACACCCGCACCTTTATTTTAAAAAAATTGATAGCCCTATTTTACAATTATTTGGAGAGTTTAGATTTATGTAATAATAGAACTCTAAAGATGCCCGTCGAGTCCCTTGAGAAAGGACGAAACAGGTGTCGTATAGATCTGTGAGTTCTTCACTTGATAGCACTATTTATCAATAATAATAAGTTGAGACTAGCAGAGTGATTTGTATTCTATGTGAATATAGATTGATCTGTTTTTCGATTAATTTCCCGTCATCGAGTTGTTTTTACTAATGTTTCTTTTTGTTTTTATTAATCCTTTTAGTTTTTTACTGTTGTCTGCATGTAGGTTGTTGTCCTGCAATATTGGCATCTGCATCTAAACCTGGTTCACTACTTCAGATGCACCTCCCGCCTGATGATAATCTGGTGAACCATGTTCATCGTCACTAGGATGATGTCTATCTTGATCTTGATCTCGACCTGAACCTCGACCTCGCCCACGACCACGACCACGATCGCGACCACGACCACGACCACGACCACGACCACGACCACGACCACGACCATAGGCACCAGAAGATTCGTTCCAAGGTGACTGTTGATTGTCATTCCTATTAGAAAAAACGAAAGAAAAGAAGTCTTCTTATTAAATATTTATTCCGACTATATATCAAAATAGTATAGATTTTATGTAAATATCCTATTGAACTTACTCTCCATCAGAAATGTGGTCATTATGATCGCTATTTTCTTCTTCTTCATTATCGTGATCGAGTCGTGCACCATTGTTATTTCTTCGATGATGATTTCCACGTCTTTGATAGTTGCCTCTGTTTCTTGCTAAGTGATTTGCTGAATTTGGTCGGTTATCACCTCTCTGGTTCGATACTTCGAGTTTCAAATACTCTCTACTAGGAGAAACTTGAAGATAATGATCACCGATCTTGTGAGATATGTTTAATACACTTGCAACAACATTATAGCTGTAATCAAAGCAAGAAAAGCGGTCGAATTGAAATAAACCTTGCTTACACTGACTGTGTATTTGCTTACTTATCGAATTCTACGAAACCGAACGATTTTAGTCGTCCATCAGGATATGTAGATATCTTACAACTCACTATATTGCCTAAACAATGACAAAAGAATTTCCAAATCTAGAGAGAAAACAGAATATCTTTTCCACATAAAAATACGGTGATCGACGACGAGATGGCTTTAGCTTACTAATCGTCATCAACTTTATCTGCTACATCGATCAATAATCGAGTTATTGCAAAGCATTTATTTCGAACCAAAACGGTGAAAGATACCAAAATTTACTGTTTTTCGAAACAAACGCATTGCAGTTTAAAACTTTCTCGAAGTGATCCAACAAATTTGAAATGTGATAACGCCAAGCTTTAACAATTTTATATGCGCTTAGTTTTGGACCTTAAAAATCTCATCTGATTTCAGCTTGAAGTCAGCGCAACTTCGGGATGTTGACGTAGTTTTACTGAATTAACATCATTTTCTGGAAGCTATTGAGCTTCGGAGAAGGTTATTAAAAATTATTATCACTGATCCAAGAGAGATCTCTCGATCACAAATTTTTAACCACCAATATAACCAACCTCATATCATTCATCATGGAAGTGACGAAGAAAGAAGACTAAGTGATACCTTATTTTTTGCTGGAAATCTACTGGACAAAAACTGACCGAGCATGGTGAACTAGAATATGAAATTGCTTTCTTGTCGCTAGTGCTCCATGATAAAATCATATTTCCAAGTCCACAAATTTTTGCATCGAAAATATTTCTGATCAATCCACATGAAAAAGGGTGTCATAAAACCTATAAAAAACTGGTTTTGAACGTTTTTCAACTATTTATTCTAGAACAAAACTTGAATAAAATGTAAAGAGAAGGAACTTTGATTTTGTGTTTTTGACGTTTCTCCTTACAGAAAAAATCATTGAAAACGACCAAAACTCTATACTTATCACCTTTTTATCAGTTCTGTGGTATGCCCTTCCATAGGTACAAACCCGAAAACGTTTTGCCTCAAAAGATCCAAGACCCGATGAAGTCGTTTTCTCGAAGGCAATCTCTACACGCCTGTGGACGCAACTATTGTCATGTTCAAATATGGGCCACTCGGTCACCTATCACTCGCAAAAATTTTATGTCAAAAACAAGGCATTATTTCATGTTTTTTTCTCATGAGTGAATTTCAACCGACACTAGTTGAGTTGAGTTAATTCAGATCCAAATCAGAGCACGTGTGAATCTGGGAAATACTGGTCTTTTTTCATCTCAAAAAGCAGAAAAGCTCTGATCAAAATAAGCTCCTTCGAGAAACCTAGTCCGTACTCACTTCTTGTTCGTCATAATTACCAATGTATATTTCATCGAAGGCTATTTTCCTAATTAAATTCTTTTAAAAGAGTCCATAGTTGTTTAGTCAGTAGTACTGATTCTGAAAATCTTACTCAAAGGAAAGTGAAAATCATCAGAATTCTCTGGCTTATTTCCTTCGTTCATATACCTTTTGACCACGTCTATCGTGATAATAAAACTCGGAAAGCATACCAGTCTAGGGCTCCTATGACAAGAGACGGGTGTTTCTAAAAAAACTAAAAATTCTCCTATACATTCTTGATTCTCACCCGAAATTTTCTCATAAGCATAATCTTCATATTTAGGAAGTGTGTCAAAAGCTTCAAAGAATCTGAAACTGTCCAATGTCACCTAGGCACTAAGATCTTGTTTCTGAGAAGAGTTTCAGTGGGGAAACGAACGAATTTTATGAGGCGCCAATTTTCTGAATTTGATTCACCATAAGAATAGGAAGATCGGGATTCTATTGGACTTTTTCTATTTTGGTACCCTTTATGGGAGTTTCTATGAACGACAGATAGGGGACAATATTGACCACGGAAGTATCTGTGTCCTCACAGATGCAGACATCAGGGTTCTGAGTTAATTTCACTAACCAAATTGTCGAAAATAAGTTTGTAAATCATCTGGGATTAGTGCACCTAAAACAGAATGTGGAGTCAGATGCATTTAGTTCACAGCATATTTACTCTACTACCTTCTGGAAAACCTGTGACGTGAATTTTCTTAACGTATGTTTTTCCAGTAGCGGCACCTGAAGCCGGACGAGAACGAACTTGTTGATTTGGATGTGGTGAAGACGCCTGGTTAGGAGGTCTTGGTCCGTGAGTGGAAGCAGAATTATTTTCTGGTCTTCGAATCCGGGAATTAGTTGCATTCCAATTGGACTGTTGCTCATGATTTTGACCTTGTGCCTGCTGATGATGATTCCGATTTGTAGTTGACGAGACGGGTTGATCTCGTGGAGTTCGTGGTTCTGAATTAGGGTCCACATATATTCTCATTTGATTCACATTTTGTGTCTGCAAGGTTAAATCGGTCTCCAATTGCTTACATAATGCTTTCAAACTATTGATAAATGCATCAGCTTGACGAATTGCATCTAAATCTTTTAGTGTCTGTCTTGATGATTCCAATTGTCCGATAACTATATTGAGTTCTTCTGCAATATTAAAACCTCGGCAATGTTGCTTTAATTCCCTACATTTCTGTTTGATTTCTTCATTTTTCTGTTGCAGTGCTCTCTCTAGTAAATTTTTTTGATCTCTTAGTGTTGTCAATCTTTGTGTAGCAGCATTTTTATTATTTGTTGCATAATCAAATTTTGCCTTGATATCATGCAGTACTTCTTGAATTGTTTTAGTTACAGTTATCACTGTTTCTCGATGATGACGATGGAAGATATAGGAACAGTGACCTTTGCATATTCGACATTGATTATTAGCACCCATACAGTAACAGCCCTTCAGTTTTTCATCACCCATTTGAAATGTTTCCGTTACACCACACTTTTGATGGCACACGCTGTTACAGGTAGAACAGATTGTATTGTAATGGTCTGCCGGGACAATTTCTGGAATTTGTACTGTTCGTGTAAAATTTTTATTATTAGTGATATCGTTGTCGTAACCACTCATATTAACTGCTAGAGTAGCAATCTCGTCTTGCATCTGTTGGATTTTGACAACTTCCAGACGTGCTGTATGCATCATAGACTTTATATGGCCTCGAATGGCTTGCATGTCTTTAAACGCTTGTACAGGTTGTAATCCAAAAGTATCAATTCTATCCACTAACCGTTTCAACTCTGTCATTGCCAAATTCCAATCCTTTTGCAAATCTAATCTTACCTCTTCATCCCATGTCGACGGATCTGTTGAAAAGGCTGAATTTTGCATATAAAATGGATATACAGTTGATGGTAAGTTTTGAAGTGCTTCTTCCAAATCCATATTGGCAGCATGACGACTAACATTTGTTAAGGCGACGATTACATCTTTCATAACGATATCTGGAAGGAAACCCTGTAGACGTACAATAACATTTTGAATATTGGTTGTAAGACGAGCATTTGTGCCATTCATTACAATGATAACACAGGTGAGACCGTCAAATGATTCTACTGCATCGATAATCTTTGCAATATTGATGTCATCTTGTTCTACACCACGGGTATCTGAGAGACCCGGTGTGTCTAATTTTCAGTGAAAGCAAAAAACCAAGTCATTTGTCATACTTTAATAATGAGCAATGGAGAAAGGGAGAAACATTCGAAGAAAGGAAACTATAACTGACTACCGCCTTTAGACAAAATTCTAGTAGTCGATTGGGAGATGAAAAGGTGAAGCCCGTTAATCACGATGATTCGGACTGTTAGGCTCCTTATGATACAACTTCCAGAAACAAGGTATCTAAGTAAAGATGGTTTGGATGAAAAAACGAAGATTTATTAGGATCATCCACGGTAAGGTGAAACCAGCTTATGTCTGCAGTGTGAAACAGTGTAATTATGCTAATTTTGGGAATGAGGACAGTTTAATATGATGAAAATATTGTAGACTAAGTCAACTTTCAAAACAGAAAATTATCAATGTTTAGATGACTAATTTACAGAGTGAAGTTCAGCGCACAGCGAGTATCGAAAAGTCCTCGAAGCCATTCAAGTAGAACTGAATGACAGGTCATAGGTTTGAGGGTGAAGAGGAGATCATCATCTTCTCCACACACCGTCACACTCATCTTCACTCTCATCCCTCAAGCACTTACCTATCCTCACAATAGTACCATCGGACAGTAGATTTAAAGGACCTACTGGACTGGATCAAAATCACTATATGGAGAACACTACCTCCAAGTCCTATATTAACATTGTAAAAATTAATTCTGATGAGTGTGGGTGGGTGGGCGTAGGTGGACATGGTTCTCTTCTTGTTTAATACACCCACACCCACATCCACAGCCAGACCCACACACATCCATCTGAACAGGTTGACAGTTCCAGCTCATTTCAGAAAGACTAGTGACCACATCACGCTCATTTAAGAAGGGATGGTCACCATATATTCTTCAAATAAAATAAACTGATCACCGACTCCAGTTCATTTGAGCCTGACCTGGGAATCCAGTTCTTCAATTCAGTTCACACGAACTGTGACATGCCTATGTATGCATCATATTTTATGTCTATAAAGAATCCAAAAATTGAAAAATTCTCCATTGACCACCCGACTAGACTAGCACCGTCTGAATATCTCGAAAGAGGAAGTTCATTTAGAGATAGATTCCGGGAACCGCAATTCGGGAAACATGATAATTTATGTCTGGACTCGCTACGCGAACCAAAAAAAAAATGAATGGTGCTATAGATGAAGGCATCGGTGATCATCATGTGGGGTTTTGGTCCATGATAGATTGCCCATTTTCTCATAAACGTAGAGGATTGAACGCAAAAAACCTAAGAATTCTTTTCAAATAGCTTTTACACCCTCGACAATAGCTCAGTTTCAGCTTCTTCCTTCTCATGTTTGAAGTATGTTTCCCATATCTTCGTTCTTATGTGTACAATTTTCGATAAAAGTTGATCTAATGTTAAGAGAAAGTGAGTGTTGGGATGAAAATAAGCAGATTCTGGTTTCGAAGTATGGAATTGTGAAGAAAAAAGGTCACTTCTTGTTCGTAACTCGGTCTTCCCTTTCTACCAATGTTGCCTACAGAGTACTCTGAGGATTCGATATAGCAGCGTCTCTACATACCTAAAAATATATAATTTCTACCATTTCTGGAAAACTGGTATTGGATACACGCTGTTGTTTGTGCCTGTGTTCTACGAGCTGTGTTACTTTCGCTATGTGTGCCACCTTCTGTCTGTGCTCGATATTTGGTGCGGATGGCAACTTTTAAGTTGTCAAGGTTACCACCTTTAAAATAATTTGTAAGATAGTTAATAAACGTGGATTTTCCACTTCCCGTTTCACCGATAATTAACACTTTAGCACTAGAATTTCTGACTGTAGCCATTTTTTCTTAAGATAATCGAAAAATGTAGACGCTAAAACATATACAATCAGTTTTAGTATCGGATAAAGCAGTGTCAACTTACATCTTTCTACTGTTGTGATAACATAGGCGGAGCAACAGTTAGGAAGGCTGCATCATCTAGAAGAAAGACAGACTTTCACATTGAAGTGCTTCTCGCTTCAAAAGTCACGTTGAGTAGAGAGGCTGTCGAGAATAAAAGTTTTTAGTTTATTTAAAATGTCAAAAAAACACAAATAGAAACATTTTGAATAACTGTAATTGATAATCGCAATATGTAAGTGTGCATCCGTGGGTATGAGTGTAGATAGATGGATGGGTGAGTGGATGTGGGTATGGATGGAGAAAAGATCAACACCCAAACACACAACAATCCTCCTACCCAGCATGCCACACTCATACCCTTACCCTTATCGCCTCTAGGGAAGAGTGACTCGAAATTGCTCGTTTGGAGATGATTTTCTCTTTCTAAGCAGCAACTACACACTCCAAAGTTCAAAATCCGACAAAAAATGAGCTATGCTACACCTTTAGTGAATGTAAAATGATACTACGACACAAAAAATTCAAGGTTGGGTTTCAAGTTCCGGCAGTCTGGTTCAATCAGATTTCATGATCGGCTAGACGGTATTCCAGCTAGCTTTTCAGTACTTCTCAAAAGTGCGTTTCGGTCTTTCGTATTCAGTGACCTGTACAATTTCAGTAGATGCAATTCATCCTCATCCTGTTTCGTACACATATGACGTTCGATTTCTTCTTCAAATTCTTTTCGTCGAGAGTTTGTTGCGTCTTCATCTACATGACAATGATGCTCGCCATGACTGACTGGTCCATGATAATGTGCATCGGTGTCCATTTTATCATGGTTCATCCAATATTCGATTGTCTTCTCTTTTGATGACTTTTGGGACTCTAATCTCTCAGCAGGATAGTTACAGGCCTCTTCTGTTGACGGTTGGCTTCGGTTTCGCGCAGGTACTTTCGAAGGTACTGGTTCAGGATTCGTAGTTGCTAGATGTTCATCAGTTCGAGTGGCTGATTGGTGCGGTTGCTTATTGGCCAGCTCATCACAAACAGCTTTCACTTTTTTTAAAAAGTCGTTTGCTTGTCGTTTAGCATCGGCAGATTTCAACAGTTTCATATCGGTTTGGAGATACCCGACAAAAATGTAGAACTCATCAGCAATGTTGAATTCAGCACATGTATCGATGAGATATTCAGCTCGATGCTTGATTTCATCCAACTGATTTTGCAGTTTTTTATCGATAGCAGCTCTAGATTTGAGTGCCTGTTCAGCTTCGATCGATTTCAATAGTTCAAGCTGAGTACGATCGGTTTGTTTAATTAATTTTCTTGCATGATAATGTTGTTTGACATGGCATAATCCTGGACAATTTTTACATTGACCACTAAAATTGAAAGCTGCACATTGAGACAGTGTGTCATCTCCTTGATTTTTTGTTTCGTTCAATTGACACCTTTCATGACAGACATAGTGACAATTTGAGCAGAGAGTATTGTGATATGGAACTGATGTTGTTGTGTAGCTCTTATGAATTCGATCCAATGTTGCTTTTGCTTCTAATACATCATCTAATGCTTGCATTTCTTTGATGATGAGACGTGAATCGTGAAGTAAACTTTTCAATTCATTTTTCTCACTATCCATATCTCGGAAGACCTGTGTAGATACTGGTGGAAGATGTTCCAATAGATCAATCAGTTTCTTCATAGTATTCATTGATTCTTTCCAATCATGTTCTAAGCATTCTTTAAATTCATGATTTAATTTTCGTGGATTATTTGAAAATGCTGAATTTTGCATGTAGTATATTTTGACTATCGATGGCAGACCGATTGTTTCAGGTTCAAAATTGAATGTATGACGTTTACAGTTGGTAAGTAGAATGACAACATTTTCCAAGACAGCATTTGGTAGCCAGTGACGAAACAGTTGTAGTACGTATTCAACATTAAAGGTTCGACGTGATCGTGTACCATTGATTATCAGCAGAATTGCAGAGAGAGACTGCATCTGCTGTATGTGATCAAAAATTTTTTTAATATTTTTTTTATCATGTTGGATACCTCGTGTATCACCGAGACCAGGTGTGTCAAGAAAACGAAATGAAGTGACTGTACCGTTACCAGGTCGATTCTCAAAAGTATATTCGTTACAGTGTATTGTTTTACTTTTTGTTTTATCATTGATATTTTCTTCGTTTGATTCAAAGTCTTTTTCTGTTGACTGATAGAATGCAGTTGGTATAGCAACTCTTATATGATCGAGTGAGCCACCACAAAAATAATTTGTGATGTAATTAATAAAGGTACTTTTGCCTGTGAAGAGCAAGATAAACAAAAAGGAATAAAGACATAGAACAAACGGAAGGTTCACTATCACCGCTCCTCCTTGTGTCAAAACGATCAACTTAAACTTAGATACAGAACAAAAGTGAGACCTTTGCAAGTGTACAACATATTTCATGTTCAACATCCAATGACCGATCGATTTACAGAAAAGTTTTTTTTAATGACTTTCATTATTCAAAAAAAATCATTTTCAAAAAGTGGGCTTTTAACCATAGTCAGTAAAATCAAGTTTCTTTTTTGTATGGTTCGATTCTTGGAAAATCACATTTACAATCCGAAAGCTGAGATTCTAGACTATCGATTCTTAGAAAAAGTTTGTGTCGTGACTACTGTTTGGAGGAGAAAAAAAGAACTTCTCGGGAGAACCAGCTAGTTTAAAAAATACATCCTCAGTAAAGTGACCGCTCGCTTCTTCGTGCAACTTCAGTTCTGATTAAACTTACAAGGAATTATTTTCACACTTTAATGCATCTCTACTGTTAGCGCATTGTACCGTAAACTTTTCGTCCCTAAGCGGTAGATCTATAAGAATCTGGTTCTTCGCAGGATTTCAAGTTTTTCCTGTGCCCACAACATTTGTTTTCAAAAAACAAGTGCACATTCTAAATATAGCATGAAAAATGCATTCAGAGGTGTCTCAATTCAATGTTTTTGGCACAGTCTTTAGCAAATTTCCAAATTTGCATGAGTTTTCGAAGCTTTCTTATTGGAAGTTTAGATTAGATTTGTCGAGACGTCAGTTCGCTTCGCAGCAAAATCGCTAAAATCAACACTATTTCCTGATTTCCTGATCTTTGTTGTTCGTTGACTGTAGGGATACACTGCGAAGCCTATGACGTTTAACAAGTGTTGAAAAAACGGAAATCAATGGCATTTTCCAAAAGTTCCCAAGTAGGAAGATATTATTTGCATCACGCTTAGTGTTACACGATGGTTTTGCAAAGACTTTCTGTACATTGGGTCTCTGAAACCCTTTGAAAAACATTTTTGAGATATAGAGCTTTTGACTGACTGGAAGGATGGTACACTACAACTAATAGGAAATGCTTTCTCCTCTTCAAGTGTGCACTTATTAGCTATAGATGTGTATAGGAGAAACCGACCACTGTGTGCTTCACACATTGAAAACTTGTACGTCAAATTCAAGAACATTCTTTTGTGACATGAAATCCTGAATAGACAGGAGTTGCTCATTAACAGGTGGGACATCATGAGAAAAACAAAGGGCAAACGCCAAATCGAAGCACGAAAAAATGAAGTCCCTGGCGGAAACGGAATATAAAGTAATTCAAAAATACACATATTCATCCCTAGTAATCCCTATAATCCCTGAAATCCCTGTAATCCCTGAAATCCCTATAATCCCTAAAATCCCTATAAACCATAGTAATCAATATAATCCCTAGTAATCCCTGATATCGTTATGATCCCTAGTAATCCCTGATATCGTTGTGATCCCTATAATCCCTGGAATTCCTAGAATCCCTACAAAATACTAGGGAATATAGGAATTACTAGGGATTATAGGGATTACAAGGGACTATTGGAATTATAGGGATTCGGTGTGGGTGTAGTGGTCTCTCTCATAGATGAAACCGGTATACCGGCCGGTCTGCAGAAATGGCTTGCGACCAGTCGGTAGATGGCGTCGACCGGTCAATGAAGTTTTGCAGACCGGCCGGTCTACCGGTTCCATCTATGGTCTCTCTAATCCGCACACCCACACCCACACCCGGTAGTTTTCCCGCACCCATACTTTGCAATGTGGCCTCACACGTTTTCCGCACTTACACCCACAACCACACCGCTTTTTTTCAGTTATTTTATAATTCATATCCTTTGAATTACTTTGTATTTCATATCCGTCATTCAATGAAAGAATACAATTTCGCAAAGCAAATTTGGTAAATAACGTATTCAGAAAGACATTGATTGGTTGGATCGCTCTCCGGAAATATATTGTTACCCGCTACTGCCACATTCAAAAACAGTTTCTCTCAAAAAAAACAGAAACATGTGATATAAGATGCAAAGTTTTAAACATTTTCTTTCTTCCTGGATGAGTGGTTCAGACAAAAACCAGTAAGAGTTTACACCCATCCGAAATTCAATTTCAGACCAGATTTTCTGGGTGTCGAAGTTACTGGTGAACTTATTAGAGTAGAATCCATTATTTTTATGATTTATAAATCAAGAAACTCAAAACAATCAAGTCTCTCGAGTCGTCTGCAATTGTCTCAATATCGACAATCTATAATAGTGGTAAAAATTTAATTTTTTATTTATAATATACATAGACATATAATGATGCACATCGCGTTAAATTCCCAGAAATTATCCTCTACAAACTGTTGATGTTGAAGTTTGCAGAAAATGTGGAAAATATAGCCTTAAGAAATACATAGAGCAGCCTTTTGAATTTATAAATCGCTCGATAAAATTTAGTATGTGTGTGAAAAATTGGTGCTGTGCGACAAACTTTTTAAAATCAAAGTCGAGTTTTTATATGAATCTCTATTTGAATGAAGATTCGGGAAGAGTATACGCCACAGGGTTAGTAAGCACTATGGTCTTTCAGATGGTGTGACGATACACCTCAAATTCTCCTACAATAGCTAAAACCAAAGAATCAAACAGAGAATAGTGGTATACGTTGACCACTATGAATCGTTTTTACAGAAAATAATTAGGAATTATCTACGAATTTTTCAATCTAAAAGAGCCAGTTTTTTAGTCACTTAAACTATCTTACTCATGAAAACGTTTGTCAAATATATGGTTTTAATGATCAATGTGTTCGAATCAATGTCAATAGTGAGCAAAATAGGATCCAGTTCAAAATACTGCTTACAGGGACAAATACAATGACCTCATAAGTCAAAACTAGATTTTCATAGTTATTTTGAACATAAAAACCCTCTTTTCTTTGTTCTTCGTCCGGTCTGTCCTGTTTCGCTGGATTCTTTCACCAATAGACTGAGTACATGAAGCTGAGGTTATTGCAACTCTCTATATTTCAACCTGTTGTTGCATAGGGTGTTATACTACAGAAGAAAGTGACATAAGGTCTACTTGAATACATATTTGAAAGTTTTTTAACAAGCAATTTCACCGACGATGGCTCAAAAGACGAATTTTTTGTTCAATTCTCACACTTCTACGGTTTTTCTAGTTAATATACGACTTTGAGATAATGCCAGATTCGAATTAATTACAGGGTGGTCCAAAAAAAACTTACTCCCCCCTACGTGTTTTTGGTTTTTGAAATATATGTATTCCAAACGGCGAACTTCTTATTTTAAAAACTTGTAATAGTTATATTGTATATAATAGGCGCTTGTAGTTTTCGAAATAAAAACCGGTTGATATATGAAATAAATCTCGTTACAAGGGGGATTAAAAATATTTAGGAAACGGGGGGGGGGGGGGGGGGGTAAGTTTTTTTTGGACCACCCTGTATTATAATGTGTTACTTGACATATATTGATCAAAAAAACTTTTAAAAGCTCTGTGTAAGTGACATCCTTGTAGCCAAAGGTACAGAAGCCATATCATAATCGAGAAAAATACGATGAACCTTCCAAAGTTATCGAAACGGACTAATTTTGCTGATCATGCTCTCGACTGGGCTATATTTGTAGGAAATTTTGAAAATGTAGTCTGATAGAGCATATTGGGCAGGATTTCATTGTGGAAGTCAGCAAATATGAACGAGCTTATGCATCTAGAAAAGATGGAATTGCTTTACTCAGTACCACCTGACTTATTTTGTTCGAGAAACAGGAGAGGAAAAATTGCAACATTCCTGTATCGCTTGAGAAATAAATTCGGGGAAGCCCCTACCTCGGAAAAGTCGATTTTTCGAAAAAGATGCAATTGGGATATCTATGCATATACTGATAGCCCCTGCAATGGACTATACGCTAGCATAATTTTTTTTGTCAAAACTCAGAGATTAGCTTGTTTCTGATGAATTCTTTTGGTGCGCCTTGGCTGAGGAGTATGAATTTGTGTTGCATGGAAACTTCTGGCGCTTTATAGCACGAAAGCTAATCTCATTTCGATTTCTATGTAACAGTATTAAGATATATCTGCATATACTCTATCTAATAAAGCTTATCGAATAATGCGAAAATATGAGTTATATAAGCAGAATTACTTGGAATAGAAATCTTTGCTGCATCAAAGGCTTTGTTTGTCGCTTTTCTCAAAGCCAACTTTTTCGAGCATACCGTTTCCGAGGGCAAGGTTTTTTAATTACAACTTCTTATGGAAGTGACAATTTCTTTTTGCATAGAAGACCGTTAGGACCGGATCCTGACAGAGCCCGATTTCTGCAATTGTCTATTGGTGAAATAAAATGTTACATATTTCATTTTTATCAGCGATTTTTTTGGTCACGAATTCGAGAATTTTTCGAGAAAGGTTATTTACGAAACAAACGAAGGGAAACTCAAAAATCGGACTCTGTAAGGGTCTCGACATAGGAGTACTCCACAACAAAGAAACCATTCTGGTGTGTTAGCGCTCGGTCCTCAGTGTGAAAATCTTGGCCACGTACAGGGTACTTTTGACCAATAAATTGACTACAACTCGTTAGTAAATTGGAGGTTTGAGTACGACATTATACCCATAATCTACCCTAGCCTAGAGTAATATGCTCTGAAATTTTTAGTAGAAATGGACTGAAAAATAAAAACGTTTATTTGTGAGGAGGAGCGCCCGTTAACAGAGAAGGATCAAACTTGATGGTAAAAAGATAAAAATAAGTCGAGATATAAAAAAAACCGAAATCCTAGTTATGATGTGGAATTTTTATATGATTCCCAGGAGATAGTATATCGAATGGAAGGCGTTTCTACTTAGTGTGAGACAAGGCGGAACAGATGGATCCTGGAAGTTTTTTATATCAAAATCGTTTTCATGTATAGAACTAATACAATCTTTGCAAAATTGCCTCGTAAATTTTTCCGATGCCGTTTTCTTATCGTGCTCTTCACGTTTATCCTGTTAGATAGATTCTGAGAAAAAATCTTCCGAAGCCCATTTACAGAAATGCGAGTTGTGAACATGAATAGTGCATCGACACACTCTTACAGGACAATGAATTGATAAAGAAAGTTACATTACACTGATACTTCGTATACTGATTAACTCATATACAAGACGAGTGCCAGTGAATCGCTGTCAGTTTCTCAGGTGGGAAGCAAAACTATTTTTTGTAAAATTTAGCGTTTCTACAACTTTAAAGATGGTTTTTATTCAGAAAACAATTCTAAATATAGGAATCTGTAAGTTACGAAACAAAAAAGTTGACGGAGGAGGAGCAGCGTCTATTACAAACCGAAGAGTACAACAAAATTTTCTACCAAACTATGAGAAGCCTGAACTTACCGCTACCAGTTTCACCAATCAGTACCACGTTGACCGTATTCGTATTTGGTACAGCCATGTTAAAAGTAGTTAGAAGCAGAAAGAATTGCTATTGTTAGGAACAAGAGGCAAAATTATTAGCTCATCTAGAGTTGTATGAAAGGCTCATCTTGGGAATGAAAGATGAATTTGAGATTTGTGTCTTGGGTGTGGATGTGGATGTGAGTGTGGGTTGGTGCGGTTGAGGATAGGTGAGAGTGAGGGTGAGGGTGTGAGTGAGGTTCAGGATGAGAGTGGGTGCGGGTGTGAGTAGGAGAGTGGCGGTGAGATTAAAACCAAGACAGTCGCCACCACTCCACAATCCCTTATCCATCCCCTCTTCTTCACCGTGACCTCACCCACGGTCCCGCTTCTCCTACACCCTCACCCTCACCCTAAACGTCTGTTGCGAACACTCCTCCATTGAAGAGTGACGTTTTTCAACTATCTTTCCCTTTGAGTTCTATCCTCTTTATACAGATCCACTGTTCAGAACATACGCGATGATTTACTGACGCAAATACGAGACGTCGTAAATAGCTTGGAATCATTTTGAACACTCACACTCACACTCATCCTCACCCGCAACAGTGGATGATAAATGCGGACAGTGGATGACCACTCTTCTGGATCTTCTTGGCAGTAACCTATCCAGAAAATCCATGAGAGGGTGGCGGTTTGCCGGAGGGGATGGCCGTCATGGTGAAAAAAGCGGTCTTCGGAGCCGATTCGAACCACGTCAATCCTATCTTCCTCAGGAAAAAAAAACAGAACAAAAAAATTCATGAAGAGGTGGCGGTTGCCAATCCTGCCAAGCCCCTGGATCCGCCATGGTTCTTGAAGATCATCCTTCTTTTCTCTTCTGTACCATCCTTTTCCTCTGTTCCTCTCTTTTTTCTATTTGTTAATTCGCGCTTTTCTTCTCTTTTTTTTACGTTATGTCTTGCTTCTCTCTACCTGTACTTGTACTTTCTCTTCTGCCTTCTATATCGATCGGTGATGTATGGTGTGAGCTAGATAAGAGGCGCTCGAATAAACAGCCGATATTAAAAAAAACCATTAATTACCTGTTATCTATCGCTCCCTCCTCTTATTTGCAAGTAAATGAATAGTGATTAAATAAATAGCAAAGATTTATTGAAAATATGCTTTTTCTGTGAGTCGTCGTCAGTTTTCAGAATCTACAGATTTTTGTATCGCTAGAATATGAAGGAAGACACGAAGAAACGCATGCGAAGATAGAAGAGATAATTCTTCTATTTCTTGTACTTAGCAACTATTCGGTCGAGTGGTGCCCTTTGAGCTTCGGGATCAAAGCTTTTAGTGGAATCCCCATAGGGATTGTGACCACGTGCGTGCCGATTTCTGTCAGCACTATGGCTGATCTGATTGCACTTACGTTTATCCTCAGGCGACAAATCTATATGACGCAACTCCACTGCTAACCCCATTGGTTGTGCATTGGCATGCATATGATCACGATAATAGGATGACATTTAGGAGAGAAGTACAATGCCCTAATACAGAGTAATTTGTTGTAGCTTCGTTCAAATTGCACCTGCTATATGTCGGGTCTCGGTCGTAAGCTGTGCCTTTCGAAATGTACAGCGAATATGCTGGAAAGAAATGGCGAAAAAGTTTCGAAAGAAATGAGCACCATTTAACCTACTTTATGTAGTGGCAGCACTGGGAAAAAATGAAAGAGACAAAAATAGATTTAATGTTTTTTTTTCTTTCGTCCTTCAGAACGCAACAAAAGCAACATTTTAAATTTTGTTGGCTTCGTTGATGAATGAAATTTACAGTTCCTTCTGTCAGAGTGAATTTGAGGGTGGGTAAGGATAAGTCAAGCAAACTATGACGCGTTTCGACATTGCTTATGGGTCTTCATCAGATAGTTCCGACTTAGTTTATCTTTAGAATCTATTCAAAATGATTCAAAGATCACAAAGAAGATATCTATATATGTACCTAATGGGTGCTCAAACTAAGAACATCCTATCTGTACCAACGCTCTTCGTGACTTTTCATGAAATACTACTCATACAAAACCATTTCACTTCGAAAAATTCGTTTTTAAAACATCCGATCTTTCGGTCGATTCGTGTCTACAGTATTTGAAAGAAAGAGTACCACGTATTATTCATAATTTTAAAAACTCTCGCCTTGTAAAAAAAAAAAAACAGGGGATCGAACTCATTGTTGGTAAGTCTCGGTGGCTCTCGCTTCGCTCTGATAGTTAAGACATGACGAACAGACCCTTCCTTTCATTATAATCACAAGAACTGGGCGGTTCCAAATTGAATTGCGACGGATGTGTGATGACAACGCGATCTGATCAGTTTTAGAGAGGACCACGAACTGTGTCTGAGTGGTTTACGCGTTCTCGATGGTGAACTGAACTGCTCCGGTTTCTTCCAGCATAATAGCATTGATATGTTTGTTAGCCTCAGACATTATTGCTCTCTTCTGTCATTGTTACTAATATTTGGTTGTTGTTGATGTGCGCTTATACAATCTGATGAAAGTAACTGAGTGATGGAGGCGATGGTTTGCTTGTCGCAAACGTGTCTACGTTGTAATAATAGAGTGGTTGAGAATAATAAAGAAATGTTTTTTGTTGACACGTCGCATTCTGCTTTTTTCTATTGCTTATTGAGTTCCCATAGAGGGAGAAAGAGAAATTCAGCTGAGGGTGGCAGTAGAGTGGGTGAGATGACACATAGTAGACAGACAAACAAAGGAAATTTTTTCTTGAGCTCTAATTTTTTCAGTTAAACTACGTACAACAAAACTAATCAGGATCTCATATGAGAGCCAATTAAACGCGGTAGATAATGCATACTTATTGATAAGTAAAACCCTACGATGAAAGAAGTTTTGTAGAGAATATTGAAAACATTTTCCGCTCCTGACCGCTCGTCACTACAGCGAAGTACAGAGCTAGGCAAGTACGGACGTATTCAAGTACGATTACGAGTACAAGGTCTTTGAATACCAGTACTTAGCGTATATCTAGACGGCACCTAGATTTACCAAAGTACTAATGTTGGATTTTTTTAAAAGGTCAGCCGCCATTTTCTGAATAGCTTTTCATTGTTGATAGGTATCAGGATCGGATTACAGTTATTCCATAGAGCAACGTAGGGTAGCGTCGATCCAAGTAAGATCCATTTAATTCAAAGGTGTTTTCTATGACTGTTTTCACAGTGAAAAACTTTTCGTCACCTATTATCACAAATTATTTTAGCAACATACGATCAAAGTACACAAAAATGTAGCCCAAATAATCCTGTATTCTTGAAAAAACTATCATCATTTAAAATTATTTCCTTTCAAGTAGATGATGGAAAAACTTCAAAATTTTTTCAGGAATATAGGATTCTTTCGGCTACATTTTTGTGTACTTTGAGCGTATGTCGCTGAAATAACTTGTGATAATAGGCAGTGAAAAGTTGTTGACTATGAAAACGGCCATGGAAAACACCTTTGAATTCAGTAAATCTCATATTTATGGACGTTGTCCATGCTGTTTTTGCGCGAGGACGTGGATGAGGGTGAGTATCCTCACATGCTCGTTGTTTAGAGCAGAAAAAAACCATTTTATGCATTAGAGTCGTGCGCAAAAATTTCGATGCGCATAATGGACATGCGTGCAGGTGTCACACAATCGTTCTTTTTTATTTGAAGTGAATTTATATTACAGATTACAAATCTTCGGGTTGGATATTTGTAGCACTGAAAGAAATAAACTCTTTTGGTTAATTGGCACAGTAAGCTATAGTATACAAGAGACTCGAAGTCGGAATCTTATTGAATAGAAATTTCCAAGGTTGTTTGATTAATTATTTGTCTATGATGGTGGCTGACAGAATAGAACACTCATCTTGGTTCAACACACGATTAATTGAATGTGGTTTATATTTAACAACAGAAGATTATTATTATTCAGGTAATCGTCCGAATATTTGGTTTTTATGTGGAACAGAGCGAGATATTATTATTGATACTGGTCTTGGCGTTTGTAATTTGAAGAAACATTTGGAAAAATTGGGATTTTTGAAGAATAATCGTGAATGTATTGTTGTTTGTACACATGCACATTTTGTTCATAGTGGTGGTGCACATCATTTTGACAACGTACTTATTCATCAAGGAGATTATGATGGTTTGAGTAAAGGTGAAAAATCAGCAACACTAAATTGATCTCATCCATCACATTATCGTGAGTTTCCATTTGAAAACTTTATACTAGAAGAATATAAAGTACCACCAACAAAATATGAACGAATCTTCGATGGTCACAGAATAAATCTTGGTGGCGGTGACGATGATGAAATTCAAATAAAACATGTGCCTGATCACACACCTGGAAGTATTATTTGCTATTATCCAAGGTAAAAAGCTTTATTTACGGGTGATTTTGTTTACGAATGTGGGAATGGTAGATGTCTATTCGATTGGGCTCCAACATCGTCTACGGTAGATTATATACAAAGTGCTAATCTAATGATTGATTGGTTAGATCAACACGAAATAGAGAAAGTTTATCCTGGACATTATGAAATCATGACTGCAAAGCAAACACAAAAACTATTGAAAGAATATATTCAGGCTAAACAATAATCTATATATGGACGCGATAAATCAGCATGGTATCCAAACACTTATTTGTTCGTATAATTTTAACCATTCATCAGAAAAATGTGATTTTTTTTACTTGTTGTATCTCATATATAATGCTACTGATCTATCACTATTTGAGATCTATATATTGCTCGGGATGGGATTTGTTAAGTACGTCCTTATAATCATTGTGTTAAACGTGCTTTGCCTTGTATTTGTTAATGTACAGCAGTGTCTACTAAGAAAATTTGAAACATTAGGAAATATCAGCGACTGAGTTTCATAATCAAGTAGTTAATCAGGAAGTACAACTTATCATTCTATTTATGAACGCAAAGGATGTTTATTTAAGTTCAAATTCCATAGAGCAGTAAAGACTTGTACGATTTTTATAACCTTGTGAAAGTCATCAATAGCATCTCTGTAAACACCACCAAGAATAGCATAAATTTTAAGACATTGTTCAATATTTTCAGTAGCTACTCTTGCACTGTTAATATCACGAATGGAACTCTTATCATCATCTGTCAATTTACATATTTGAGGTTTCTTTCTGGGAGTAACTACGTAGTCTTCGTCAATATATCCTTTGTCAGGAATAATTTGTATCGATTCTTCTATATGTTTCAATAGCCCTTGTTCTCGAAAAACAGTAATATCATGCACACTCCCATGATAACATTCGGATACATGTACTATTCGATGACGAAAATCACAAGCTATTTGCACTTTTCATCCATAATTTGTTGAAATTTTGCATGATAATACGCCTTGCGTTGCTCTGAATCATAAGGTTCAAGAATCACAATGAGAGTCGAATCAACTATTAATCTATGAAATTGATGAGGCCCATGCAACGTTCTTCTGTTAGCGATGTCAGCAGGTAACGAAACTAGTTCTGCTGATGAGATCCTTAAGCAAGATCGAAACACGTGTCATGGTATGCTTGTCACACCCTGTGTTTGGAATTTATCATTACTTATAACCTTTCTACGTTTATAAGTAACAGTATAAATTTAGTTCTTTGGCTTTTTCCTCTAAATCCAATAGAACTATTGCCATCTGATGAGATCCTTAAGCAAGATCGAAACACGTGTCATGGTATGCTTGTCACACCCACACCCACACCCATAACAGCACCAACAACATTAACATCAGCACCAAAACCAACATACGCTTCAATATTACGAACAAACAATAATAATAATAATAATCTCCAAGTCCAACACCAGCAACACCAATATCCAAATAATCACCAACAACAACAATATTATCAACGAAGCATGAAGAGGCTAAAAGATACTTCAAATTTTCTTTCAGATAATAGTAATAAGAATTTTAATAGTACCCAACCATTCTCAGTCACAACAGATAATGTAGTTCAACAAGTAGGTAGAGGTAGTCAGCAGCACTCCAGTTTCCCATCAAGAACATTAATTAATTTTTATCCCCATAAGTTAAGGACTAAAGGTCAGTTTTTTAGAGATAATCAACCACCAAAAGATATAGAAACAGAGAAAGAAAAATTATTTTTTATAGCAAATACTTATTACCAGATGAGACATTTTGAAGAAGAGAGTAAAAAATGGAAAATTTATGAAAAGGTAGCTAGTCGTAAGGAACAAGACTCAGACAAGGATGGAGATGATATAGTTATGGAAGAAATAGAAAATATTCCCCAAGCAAGACCCTTTAGAGAAAGATATTCGAAAATTTTAGATATGACAGTGAGTGATACAGACAGCCAGAGTAATGAGAATAGTAACACAGACAATAAGGAAGACACCAGTGAGAGTAGTAGTGAGACAGAAGAGGAAGAAGATAAGAAAAAAAGAAAATTAAGGGATACAAGTCTTTCACCAACGTCGAAAGAAAAAAGAACAACAGAAAATAGTATTAATATAAGGAAGAAAAAACCAAAATCAAAAAAGAAGAAGAAAATTTCAATTGAGAATGACCCAAGAGCACCCCAAGGTAGTCCAGTATTATTAGTGAGTGAAAGTAGTAATAAAGAAGTAGGAAATAGAACAGATAAGAATGGTAGACCAGACACACCCTTAGATCCCAATGCAAAAAGACGTAGATTATTTAAATTAGAACCACCACCACATCAGATAAAATCCCAAAGAAAGAAATTTCAAGAACAACAACAAATAGAGACAGTTAAGGAAATAGAGATAATTGAGTTACCCAAAACGCCACCAGGTATAGTTGAGCCGCCAATAGTTAGTCCAAGACAGAGTACCCCAATAACACCTATAGCACGACCACAACCATTAGATTATAGCCCAAATGTAGTAACATCGAATATTGAGACCGAAAAAGATCAACAACAAGAAGAATTAGTCGAGTCAGTAGAGATGATAGAGCAGGATAAGGTAGTACATTCCCCATCAGTGATTTCCAAAGAGATAGATATAGATAGAGTAAATATAGTTAATTTTCCAATAATCCCAATAGAATGTAAGTTCCATTTTAAGATCTTCCACCAACCGGCCAGTATAGTTAATATTATAGCACATAGAGAATTTTTAGAGAAAAAAGCCAAACAACAAGAAAAAGAGTTAGAACAACATATGAAACATTTTAGCGAAGATTTACGTAAGATAGTAGTAGAGTATATTAAGAACAGTATAGACCCCTTAGTAGATAGTTTAAAAATTTCCAACCAGAAACGTTTAGATAACTTAGTCTTAGACCAGATAAGAGAAAAAGCATTAAGAACAATTAGAAGTGAGAACAACAAGGATAGTTTAGAATTAGTAGATAAGACACAAATGAGATTAGAACGTACATTAGAATTAAAGTTTCAGTTGGATAAGTTAGATCGTAGATTAAACGAGAATATGCCACCACCCGCACTGAATATTATGGATAAGTTACAGTTTAGAAGTAAGGTATTAAGTAATGAGATGAAAGAACAGTATAGTGAGCAGTGGAACAATGTTATACGTAAGAGTAAGTTAGATTTAACATCAATAATGAGATTAGCTAAGGTAAAAGAGATAGATCAGAGCGATAAGGAACATTTAGAATTAGTAGAGAAAATACCAGTAGGAATAAGGGCAGCGTATAAGGATTTAATAAGTACAATACAGATAAGGCATGATAGACGAGTACAGAAGAAGTTGAATTTTTTAGAGAGAAAAGCACAAAGAATAATAGAAAAATAGCTAGAGGGATAGAAAGAAATAGTAAGGTTAAGAATTTGCACCCCCATTATACCCCACTCGGATTCCCACCTCAAGTAAATAATAAGGTATTAAGTTTAGGAGATGAAGAGAGAAGAATTTTAAATTATGGACCCAAATTTGTACCTGAGAATCCCAAACAAGCCTTAGACAGATTAGAAGATGAGATTAGAACAATGAAAGATAAGGTAGCCGAAGCTTGGAGAAGAGAAACTAAGACAATAGGTAGAAACCCAAAGAAAGTTGAAGAATTTGCCCAGAGATTAGAAGAAGAGCTAAGAAGTAAGATTAGTGAGGGAGCAGCACAGGACCCATTAGTAGAGAAAACCTTAGAACGATTTAAAAAGGAACGAAAACAGGGAAAAATAATTTTCAGACAAACAGATAAATCCAAAGTATTCCATGTTGACAGGCCTGAGACATATATTGAGAAATCGATAGCCTATATGAAAAAGACAGATGCTTACCAAGAGATAGAAGAATCCCCATTAGATATTATGATAGAAAAGACGGAACAGTTGTTACGGGACTTAGTCAATAGAAAGTTATTATCCGGAAAATATTTTGAGAAATTGAAACCAAATCCAATAGATGCCGAGTTACCCCATCTTTATTATAACCCAAAAGATCATAAGGTAGGAGAACCACTTAGACCAATTGTTTCGGGGATGAAATCACCAACACAAAAAATCTCGGCTTTTCTTGATCAAATTATTAGACCCATTTTTGATAAGTTTACCCCGTATAGTTTGAGAAATAGTATAGAACTTTTAAAGGAATTAAAGAAATTTGAAACTACAGACCAGACCCTTGTATATACATTCGATATAACGGATTTATATACAATGATACCCCAACAGGAATCTATCTTAGCAGTTTGTGAGATGTTAGGAGAGAATAAGATAAATAAGGTTAATGGAGAGATCCCCATCAATACGATAAGAACCCTCTTTAGACATGTCTTAGAAAATGCGTATTTTGCCCTACAGTTACCAGGAGAGAAAGTTAAGTATTATAGGCAAGTTAGAGGAGGACCCATGGGATCAGAATGTACCCAAGTCTTAGCAGATATCTATATGAGAAAGTGGAAAAAACAGTTTAAGGTAGACCAAGAGAGAGAGGGAGAATTATATTTTAGATTTAGAGATGATATTTTTTTAACGACTAAAAAGAGTAAGGTAGAAATAGTACAGATTTTATTAGAATTAGGTAAGAAAGATAAGAATATAGGATTAAGTTTTGAGACAGGTCCACATGTAGATTATTTAGATGTAAGAGTACAAGTAGAAGTTCCCAATTTTAGAACAAAAGTCTATAGAAAGTTAGCTGCCCAACCCTATATATTACCGTTTAACTCAGCACACCCACCCCATGTCATGAAAAATATAC